ATAATTTTATTATAATTTACAAATTTTATATTTTATAATTTTTAAGTTCTCATTGTAAATAATGTCAAATTAATTGGTAAATATCCTATCATTAAATGTGCTAACTAGAAAGCAATCATTTGAATATGAAAAACTTAAACTCTATGAAAAATTTAAAGAACTAATGCTGAATTTAGTACGTAGTAATGTCATTAAATAGGAATAGAATGGATATAAGAATGAAATAATTTTAGGAATGAAATGAAATGTGTATTACTATTCCAATGTTTGTCAATTAATTGGGATTGAGTGTTGGAATGAAATGTACATTACATTCCAATGTTTGGATATATTAATTTTTATTGGAATGAAATGAAAGTTAACCAAAATAACTTTTTTATTGTAGAATTTCTAACTTAATTAACATACTCTATTACAATGAGTATTTCTGTTAATTTTAAAATTTGAAAAATATGATTAAATGTGCAGTAAATAGTCACAAAGAATCAAATAATAAAAAAATTCATTGAAAGAGTAATAAAAATCAATAATAGACAACAAATTGAAAAAGTAGAAAGATTTGTCTAATTTTTAATTCCTTCAACACATCAGTCGGGGTATGTGCCTCTATACTAGTAACCGATCCTTTTCAAATATTATACATAAATCTTCATAAAAAGGGAAAGATTTGTCCTTGAACTTCTCTGCTCCCTTGTGGCTCTACAAAAAAAAAAAAGAATAGATACAACATTTAAACCCTCTTAGTAGTAAGCAAGATAGATAAACAACAGGACATCTGAGATCCTTGCAATTAGTAGCCAAACAAGCATATGGACATGGTTGCTGGAAAAGGAAATGGCAATGCAAAACAACAAACAAGTTTAGTGGGAGATCAATGTCAAAATTCTACAAAATTAAGAAATACGGAGGGAAGAGTTCTCAAGTCTTTTGTCTTCTAGTTTATTTGTGTTTTTTTTTTATGTATAGATAGATATATGAAGCAAGAATTTATAGGAGTGCATATTCGTATTTGTATGTCATCCGAATTAAGTTCAATATTTAATTTTGAATATAAAGTATCAAAATTGTTTTCAAGTTTTGATTGTCACATAGAACTAGAAACTTATTCACTGTCCTAAGGCAGTATGTAATCGATTTGAGTGGTGTTTCGTTAACTAAAGGTTTGCTAAATTAAGTTTTGTGTACAAAGAATGTTATTGTTCATGAATCATATTTTCAGAGAAAATTGTCAAAATTTTTTAAACATATGAGTGAGACTCATATTGTTTCATGTTTTTTTTTTTTTTTTTCAGATTTTTAATTGATGACTTTTTGTGTTAGGTGGGTTTATATTGATCATAATTTTTTTTATTTATTACATAACACTTTCAACCACGAGCGATTACTAGTATATCAATATTAATATAAATTATATATCATCCACAAGAATGCAAACACTTTATTCTCTTGGTGATTCATTGAGATTATTTGGAATCTGGCCTTTTAGGGACCAATCTGTCTATCTGTGGCCAGTAGTGATTCAAATTGATAGACCACACACGCCATCAGTGCTCTCAACATATATTGACCACACAGAAAAAGTAAGCTTGCATTTGTAATTTTAATGTTCGGTACAGATAAATCACTCAACGTATTTATTCCAAAAAATTGTCTCTCAACACCAAAACTAAAGTGCCATTGAGTGCTCTGGGAAATGAAAATGGATTAATTCTCATTAAGTTATCATAGTTATTGTAAGGGATGAAACCCTCCACTCAGGATTTCGGCTTGACCTCCGCGCGTTCGGGAGTAGCCTTTACCCCTCTTCCTGAGCCGGAGCCCTGGCCTAAGCCTAATGTGGGGAGGGCGCACCGTATCCCACATCGGAAGAGAGTCGTCTTCCCCCCTCGCATATAAGCCCTTGCACTCAAAGGAGGAGGTACCCACTAGGCACCTGATCAGGTCGCTAGTGGGTACCTCCTCCTTTGAGTGCAAGGGCTTATATGCGAGGGGGGAAGACGACTCTCTTCCGATGTGGGATACGGTGCGCCCTCCCCACATTAGGCTTAGGCCAGGGCTCCGGCTCAGGAAGAGGGGTAAAGGCTACTCCCGAACGCGCGGAGGTCAAGCCGAAATCCTGAGTGGAGGGTTTCATCCCTTACAAAAAGGCGCCTTTTTGTAAGGGATGAAACCCTCCACTCAGGATTTCGGCTTGACCTCCGCGCGTTCGGGAGTAGCCTTTACCCCTCTTCCTGAGCCGGAGCCCTGGCCTAGCCTAATGTGGGGAGGGCGCACCGTATCCCACATCGGAAGAGAGTCGTCTTCCCCCCTCGCATATAAGCCCTTGCACTCAAAGGAGGAGGTACCCACTAGCGACCTGATCAGGTGCCTAGTGGGTACCTCCTCCTTTGAGTGCAAGGGCTTATATGCGAGGGGGGAAGACGACTCTCTTCCGATGTGGGATACGGTGCGCCCTCCCCACATTAGGCTAGGCCAGGGCTCCGGCTCAGGAAGAGGGGTAAAGGCTACTCCCGAACGCGCGGAGGTCAAGCCGAAATCCTGAGTGGAGGGTTTCATCCCTTACAGTTATAAAAACTCAATTATGAATATTAAGCGAGAAAATTTGAATACTTACCCCTATTAGTAATCGGTCACTGCTAAAGTAGGTTTCCTTTGATGTGTGGTGTGTTGTATGTGTGAGTTCCTTACATGCTTGACCAAAAAAAAAAGTAGGGTTATGTTTGGTTATCATCTGCAAAATAGTTTTGTTCTCAAATTTTTTGCAAAATTTGAGATTTAAAACACAAAAATAGAAAACAAGTCAGACTTGTTTTTGAGTTTTATTTGAAAATTGTGAAAACACGGAAAACGCAAGACCCTATTTACTGTACACTTATTATACCAATATAAAAGTTTTTTTTTTTTGTGCATTCTTTTTCCCTGACCCCTCTCTCTCTCTCTCTTGTGCCGATACCATGGATTTGTCTTCAACCCATATATTCAGTGACTAGAAGCACATATCCGACGATTGGAATCACAAATCCTTTGGTTGTGGTTGTGGTTGTGGGTGTTGGGTGGTGGTGGTGGTTGTGGGTATTGGGTGGTTCTCGGTGTGGGTTGATGGTGGTTGTGGGTGTTGGGTGATTCTCGGTTTGGATGGTGGTTTTGGTGGTGGGTAATTCTCGGTGTGGGTTGGTGGTAGTTGTGGGTGTTGGGAGGTTCTCGGTTTGGGTAGTGGTGGTGGTAGTTGGTATTGGGTGGTTCTCGGTGTGGGTTGGTGGTGGTTGTGGGTGTTGGGTGTTTCTCGGTTTGGGTGGTGGTCTTGGTGGTGGTTGTCGGTGTTGGGTTGATGGTGGTTGATAGTGGTTTTCGGTTTGTGGGGGTTGGGTGATGCATAGTGAGAGAGAGAGAGACACAAAGAGTTAAAAAGATGTGGTAATTGTGGATTATTGTCCAAATAAATTTTAAAATTTTTTTTCTTTAAAACTATTTTCAAAAATATATAACCAAACAAGTTTTGTAATTTAAAAATTTTTATTGAAAAATAGTTTTCAGATATTGTGTTTTTGAAATGCAAACCAACACAGACCCTAGGTTTCTTTTAATTTCTCTCTTCAGAGATTGTGCCATTTTTAATTTTTTTTTTTCCTTTTAAGGTTCAATTTAAGAAATATTCATGTTCTTCTTCAGGAAAATAACATCAAGACCAACCTATTCCTTCGTTGATACGAATTTCATACTTCAATTCCATATATGGAATTGGGTAAGATTTTACATGATTTAGTGAACAGAATATAAATTCCAATAATGGGATTTTTCGATAAATGGGAAATTAAAAATGCTCCGGGATGAAAATGAGGGAATATCTACAATACCGGAGTTTAATTAGATACAATTTGAAGGATTTTGTAAGTTCATTGATCAAGGTTTGACGGAAGAACTTTATAAGTTTTCAAAAATTGAAGATACGGATCAAAAAATTAAATTTCAATTATTTGTGAAAATACTCCAATTGATTGAATCATTGATAAAAGAAAGAGATACTGTATATGAACCACTCACATATTCTTTTGAATTATAGGGCCCTTGTATCTCCTCCCTCACAATTGGCCTTGAATGACCCTTATACATCATGGATTGCAGCTCAAAGAAAAGGACAAAGTTTTACTATTTTTTGGGTAATGTTATTCGGACTTAAAAAATTAATTTAATGATTTTTTTTTTATTTTGATCATTGTATGAACACTAAATTCTAATATTTAGTAGGAACTACGTCAATCTAAAAATCATAATGAATTAAATCAATAATTTAGGTTGATAAAATAAGTCTTAATAGTTTACTCATATTTTTTAAAACTTTTTTATCTTCTTACTCAATCCCCACGAGAAAATATTCATTGCAATGGTGTCACTATGTTATCACCGCTATGTGATATCATCGTTCACTAATCTTATGTATTGTTGATTGGATGTGGTTGTCACTGGTAATTATAAAAATAGTGGGGTTCACTTTACCTATTTATAGTCTTCTAATTTGATGGTAATAACATGTTATAGTGATGACGTGGTGTCACGGTTGCATTGAATATTTACTCCAATCCCCTCACCTTTCCACACTTTCCTCCCCCCTCTCTCCCCTCACAATTACACTAGCCTGTTAAATAGTTGTACAAGGTGTCACTTGACATAAATAAACTGAAGATTGACATGGTTTGGTTGGTTTTTTCATTTTGTAGTGTTAGTTATTTTTTTGGCAAAAAAGAAAATACAAATAGGAACATGTTCAAATTTCATCATACAGAATAAATATATGTGCATGTATCCTATTACCCATGCCATTCAACTTGGAAGAAACGCGAAACCCAAACAAGAAAAAAAAAAAAAAAAACCAAAGTAAACGTGACTTAAAAAACCAGTGAATCTCCTCTTGAAAACTATACCATTTGAAATGAAAGCATTCAGCTATCAACTCAAAGTGTAAGTGGATCTTTTTTGGGATCTATATGGAAAAGCTCTCTTGCATGGCGAAGTTGCAGCGAGTGAACATTGATCCGCCAAAGCCAAAGCCAATATTTGAAGGTAGTAAATCTTTTAGGAAAAGTGTTATTCTGAGAAGAAGACTAGCAAAAGGCAGAAATCTCTTCCCCCCCGCCCGCGGGGTTTTTCCTGATAACATCTTGGGTTGTGTCTTTCAAGTTTTTAAAAATTAATGATGGGGACCAATGATATAATTTGCAGTGTTCATAATTGGTGCAAGTTGAATGATTAGATAATTTTCTTTGCTTTGTGTTTATGTGTACTTGGCCTAATTTTATATTTGCCATCTATAAAAGAGGTTCAAACCTTGAGCCTTAATCACCTATTGTTGTCTTTACAAGTTAATATGACCACTCTCATTAACATGACTGATGATGATCTTAAGGCTAGGGAAGGACATAAATTGTGGGTTCGGCCTGTTTGATGTATAAATAATTAGTTTGCATCTACATTTCAAGTGTTTTTACCTATATTTACACTCACAATAATCTCGATACTCGAGTTTTATATTCATTAAAAGAAATCACAACACACAAAGGTCGTATTTATAATAAAGTAATGATATGTATTTCAAATTTGTAACTCAAATCAAGGAGGACCATCGGATTAGTGGGTTCTATTTAAAAAAATTGATGAGACCTATTGATCCAATGATCCTTCTTGATTTGGGATACATAGTACTACTCTTTATAATATTGTACAATTTAGTGTTTTTAATATTTTACAACTTTTTATCCAAATGCATTCATATCAGACTAAAAAATGTTGCTATTTCTCTTATTAAGAAAATTTCACTATGCCTCAAAGATTAGCTCTAACTAACTAGAGTGTCTTGCACGCTGGCAACCCTATTCTATAAAAGAGTCGATGCTATTTTCGTCCCTTACTGTTCACAACGGTGGCCCCAACACCTCCTCCCTCTCACTTCTTTTTTTTTTATGGAAGCCTCGCTTCACTTGTCCTCTATTTTTTTTTTTTTATTCAATTATTCTATCTTTTTTTCTTTTTTATCTTGACTAAATATCTAAGAAACGAGTGTCCTAGTCACCTAGATTAGATATATAAGCAATTAGTCTCTAAGGAGGTTTAGGCGTCTAGGTAAGCAAGCTATTTATAGTATTGTTTAATTCCAAAAAAAGGTGTCCTGTACATTTTCAAATAGGTTTGTGAGACGCTACATTTCCATAGAGTATTACAATGGAAAATTTTAGTTATTTAAATTATATTATTAGAATTTGTTATATATTAATTAAAAATCCTTTTATTTTTTGGTAGAGTTAGTTATTCACTGTTTTCTTCGTTGATTGCACATATTTATGTACTTTATTTGTTTTTTAATCTATATTTCATTTTTTTCCACTTTTTATTTATTAACCGGATCTATAGGTCCATTTGCCACACAGTTAAAAAAGTTGCTTTCAGTATCTTCGCCATGTGTCCACTTTGGCAGACTGTGTTAGGTGATACTGTTAGTCTGCTTCACTTTATAAGCCTGAGAATTATTTGAATTATTTTTCAAATAATTATCTTCGGCTCTCTCTCTCTCTCTCTCCGAATTTCTTGCCTTCACTGGCAGGAACTTGCACTGCAAAACATGGCTTCGGCAATTTTCTGCATTGGACTCATACTTTTCTCTCTCCTCCTCCTTCCATGTGAAGCCCATGAAACCATACAACCCTTTGAATATATATACCAGTTTGGAGATTCATTGGCGGATACAGGGAACCTTATTCGCCAAAGCGCCACCACCGGCAAAACAGTAGCTGCCGCCCATCTGCCCTACGGCGAAAGCTTTCCTGGCTGGCCCACCGGTCGCTGGTCTGATGGCCTTCTCATCATAGACTTCGTTGGTAATTAAGCTGCTTTAAACATTATATATTGATATTGAGTAATGTTAAATGGATTTAAAAATTAGATTTAAAAATATGACTTGATAATTTCAACTATTGAATAAGTATCAATATTTCTAATTATCAAGTTTAATTTTTTAATATACTTTTTAAGTGCAAGTAACACTGGCCCTATATATTACTCCCTTTTATCCCTTCATTTTTTTCTCAATAACTCTGCCACGACTCAAAATTTACGATTAATTCTGGCACAAATAATTGCATAATCTCTTAATCAAGTTATATCTACGACCGCAGAAAAATTATTGATTGGAATCAGCTTTCAATTACATGTCAAAAAAAATAAAAAAATAATTAATATGATAAGATTAGAGCTATCAAAATTTAACACAACACGATTAACCGATATGAATTAGTCGAGTTTGAGTGAGATCTTAACAGGTTTGGGTGATAAATGGGTTGACACGCCAAACACGTTTAACAAACAGGTCGTGTTCGGGTGAGACCTGTCAAACTGTTTATCACACGTTTATCCGTTTAAATAAAATTAATATAATAATCATTTAAAAAAATTAGAAAGAAAAAAAGAAGCAAATAAATCAATTAAAAAAAAGAAATAAAGAAATAGTTCAAAGATAAAAGAGATGAGATGAAGAACACTTTAAAGACAAAGACAAACAAATGTCTTTTATTTTTTTCTGACATGGGGAAATGAGGGGAGATGGAAAAGGTTGAGTTGATTATAAAAAATAATGACCTCTTGTTTTTTTTTTTAAGCCTTCAAATCTTGTTTTTATGAGATTTGGTTAAATATTCCTCTTTTTTGAAGTAAATGTAATTGACAATAAAAAAAATAGAGTATTAAAATTTGTTAATATATTTTTTTTAAAATTAAACTGGTTAAACGAGTCGTGTCGTATTACCCGTTTAATCGTGTACCAATTTATATATTTTTCACCCGCCATCCGTTTAACTCGATATATAACCATTTTATTCAACATATTTAACACCCTTAGATAAGATTCCTTAGCTTGTGAGTGTACACGGTGGACAAACCACCAAACGAGCACAGCAACTTGGGTCCACACCAGCAACAATGCATTACATGGTCCCCTAGAAACGAGTAACGACATTCTGTCCAAAACATGAATAAATGCATTACATGGTCCCCCAGAAATGACTAATGATACACCGCCAACAAAGGAATGAAAAACGGGACTAAATGACGTGATATTATTAAAATAATATCATTGGTTTTACTTTTACACATTTAAAATCCAAATGCAAGATCGAATTCTACATGAACATCAAGTTAAATGTTGCGTTCGAATTTTGATTGTATAATTATTATTATGATGTTGATTTTGCTCAATTCAGATAAATTCACATTCATGTGTGAAGCTTTGGCCTAGGGCCATAGTCCGCCTCAACTTTCTAGAATTATACTTTATACCTCTAATTGGCTCTTTCAATTTTAAAATTATAATTCAATCCAAAAACAATGTTCTATTTCACATGGCGACACCTCAATTTATCAAAATTATATTTTATATCCATAAATGGCAATCTTGATTTTGCTTTACCCCTCAACTATTCATTTAAACATATTGTACCACTAAGTATCGAAAACAGTCTCGTAAACTATAAAATTTGAGCAAAATTAAAATTTAACAATTTGTGTAAAAATTTAGCAATTTGAATTATTAATGGTACAACGACTTCAATTTAATAATCGTAGGGATAAGATCCAATCAGGATAATAATTTAAGAGGATAAATGGTGCCCAATGTTTTTTTCGAAAGGTATTTAGTGTCCAATGTTGTATGTCCTATATGTATTTAATTAAGAGATATGCACACACTATATCTCATTTTATTTAGATTTTCAAGCATTGTATCGGCTTAGTAAAATTTAGTTGTATCAAGTTTTTATATTATGAAATTAAACTGACATTTTTTTTTTATCAATGAATCTAAAATCGTCTTGCATGCAATTGATTTGACAAAGTTCAATTAATTTTTTTGATTTTTTGAAAATTAACTTATACTATAATTCGTGAAAGTTATTTGAAATTAACGATGACTCTTTGAATGACCTCATTAAATAACTTTCAAATTGTGACATTATTTGGCTCCCCACCATAGAATCTTGGCTCCGTCCGCTTCTGTTTGTGTGTCTGTCGATGTGTGTTTGTTTGTATGTGTTTTGACAGAACAATAAACATGGCTAAACTTATTTATGTGGCCGATGATGCACAGCCATAGCTCTTTCTCTCCCACTGCTTAATCCTTATCTAGAAAGCAATGCAACATTCGATCATGGCGCCAACTTTGCAGTAGCCGGAAGTACAGCATTGGACTATACTTTCTTCACCACAAATGGCGTTTATAATCCAACCACTAATATTTCCTTGGGTGATCAGCTTAATTGGTTTAAATCCCACCTCAACACCATCTGCCAAGCACCAACAGGTTTGTTGCTATTCCACGGTTCTTTCAAAACTTAAAGTACTTACCGAAATAAAATACTGTGACTTATATTTGCATCTGTACTTTTCAATGTGTATTACTACAAAACATGCTTTCAATATACATATATATATATATATATATATAAGGGTTATTTACGCTTTTACACTGAAAAACGTGTCATAAAAATTCTGATAATTTCGGGAATAAGTTGAAAAAGATGATATTGTGGAAGAAAATTTAAAAAATAATGGTCTTTTTTATCATTGATTCTAGGTTTGTCACTATTTGTCCTAACATTCTCAGCATCTACCCAACATGGTTAGATATAACACCATGGAAAAGTCTACAATAACGATTCAAGTTCTTTAGATTGATCTTAACTCAATCTCACTGAGTCGTAATTTGTCGTGTTGGAGTTGTAGTTAAACCCCATTGGAATGTGACTTTCCATACAGCATCGAGAAGTTACTTTTGATACCATGGAAAATCCTATAACTCAAATTGCCTGAACTTTTTTCATCTTTTGGTTCAGAATGTGAGAAGCTCCTTAGCAAGGCTCTCGTCTTCGTGGGCGAGATCGGAGGCAATGATGTTTACTATCCTCTCATACAAGGCAAATCCATTCAAGAGATTTACACTTATCTGCCATTTATCATAGAGGCCATTACTAATGCTGTTAAAGTAAGTTTCAATATAATTATTATCACAGTTTAGTTATTTCTAACCTTTGCCTAAAGTAGTTATTAGGCAGCGCAATACATGAGACTCTGTCCACTACGAAGTTTCAGAAGAGTGAGATGTACAAAGCCTTACCCCAAATGCACATAAAAAATTCCAGAAATCCATGTAATGTAGTTATTATGTACCATAATTTACCTTGGTGTCGTTATCATGTTGTGCAGGAAGTGACACACCTTGGTGCTGTGAATATCGTAGTTCCCGGAAATCTTCCAATGGGATGCTTACCAGCCGGCCTGACATTAGTCTTTACTGGTGATGCAACAACTTATGACGATATGGGATGCTTAAAGGAATTAAATGAGCTAGCATTGGTTCATAACAATTATCTTCAGGAGTCTTTGGCCTTGCTCAGGCTTGAATTTCCTCATGTTGATATAATTTACGCTGACTACTATACAGCGTACCAAACAATTCTACGTTATGCAGCTAATTTCGGTGAGTAGTTCGTAAAAAAGGTAAAAAACACCTTGTTCATATAACTTGTTTTGTGAGCTTAAATGATGAATTATGAAATTTTAATGCATGTTTATGTAGGGTTCGAAGAAAAATCGTTGTTAAGATCATGTTGTGGAATTGGAGGGCTATATAACTACGATGAGAACAGAAAATGTGGGTCTCGTGGTGTGCCTGTTTGCAGTAACCCGGTTCAATATATAAGTTGGGATGGAGTCCATTTGACACAGGAGGCCTACCGCCATATTGCAAAAATTCTCTTTCAGGATATCCTAGGCCTCCCTGGAATACGATACATGTAGTAGATTCGACTAAAACAATGTTTTCCAGAGGTTATATGTAAAGCTTGGATTATTTCTAATCAGAGTGCAAAGAAGTTAAGATGAGTATGTTATTGTACATGAAAATTCAAGCATGAAAGTATTGTATGACCTTCATCAATTTATGATGAAGGGTGTAATCACTGTACTATTTGTAAATGAAAGTAATTCTATTATTTATTTGCTTGCCACAGCTTGATCTAAGAGTAGTATGTAATCGAACTTTCCTCCAAATCATAGATCTTGCAATCCAAGAAAGACTGAAGGAGGTACTTGGTCATGCACTTTCGACTATTATCCTATTCAGATCCAATAGTAGAAAAAGAAGCACATTGTTACAATGTCGGATCGGATAAAAGAGGAGAGTTATGCTAGGTAACTGACAGTCAGCTTAAAACTTTTCCCGCCTATATGAACCTAAATCCTTCAATTGCATATAATGCCTAAAAGATCATGCTAGAACTCACAGCAAAACTAGAATCACTGGCGAGATAATAGCGGAATAATTCCTTGAAACTCACTAGCGAGGTAATCTCACGAGATTGACGATGTGCCCTTAGATTCGACAACTTATCTTATAACTTACTTTAATGTTTTAACTACAATTCGCCTATTTACATCTAATTTTATAGTCATAGTAAATCTTTTAACTACTCACATATATTTTAACCACGATAAAAAAAAAATAATAAAGCTTTCCATGAAGCAGCCTAATACCAAAAAATTTTTTTTGGTTGAAATACCCATATAGGCTAGGTATACATATTGTTGATGCACCAAATTGTTATACAATTTTCAATATTCATATCTTTGGATAGGGTGTGTTTGATAACTTAACTTAAGTTTTAAAATTGAATACTTTCAGTACTTAATGAATTAAGTTCGTTTGATAACCAAATATTATAACTTCTTAATAAAATAAGTGCCACATAAATTCAAAGCAAAATTTTAAGGACCGAAAACGCTTAGCAATTAGGTTTTTTAATAAAATTTTATTTGCCCTAACGCATTTCCCCTCTGCCTCTTCTCCACAAGCTGATCACTTCTTCTTCGTTGGGTTTGCCATCGCCTTCCAAACTACAGGTATGTTCTTCTTATCTTCTTCCTCCACTCGATCTGTCATAGCATTGCTCTTCTTCTTTCTCCCTTGAGTATCTCGCTGGCTACATTCCTCGATCTACAGTCCGGTCAGTAACCCATAATAAACTTAACAAACAAAAAAAATAAAAAAATCTTGAAATTCTTGTCATCTATATATACACTCAGACACACGTGAACGAAGGATTTCAAGTTAATGGTCATAGATTATGATTTTTGTTATTGAGTGTGTTTATAGATGCCAAGAATTTCAAGGTTTTTTTTTTTTTTTTTTATGTTAAATTGATTTATGGGTTGTTGAATTATCGAGTGAGTCTGTTCAATAATAAAGAACAATCGAGTGAGTGAATCCGAAGGAATCCTTGGTGATTTCTATCTCGAGTGAGTGAATTTCAAGTTTTTTTTATGTTAAATTGATTTATGGGTATTGATTTATCGAGTGAGTCTGTTCAATAAAAAAGAACTATCGAGTGAGTGAATTCGAAGCAATCCTTGGTGATTTCTCTCTCGAGTAAGTGAACTATCGAGTGAGTGAATTTCAAGGTTTTTTTTTTTTTAATGTAAAATTGATCCGAAGGAATCTGAAGAATTTCAAGGTTTTGTTTGTCTGTTGCCAGTTTGATTTGTTGCTTCAACGAAAATACTTGTATCCAAAATTTTGACAATACAGTGTGAATTGAGGGTCTATATATGTTTTATTTGATAAGTATTGATGTGTCTTGGTGTGTGAAAAATAAACCTTACATCTCTTGTTTTTTTTTTTTTTTTATTGGTTAATTGCCTTGTGTTCTTCGATTCTTGTAATCATCAATTTCTTTTTTATCTTAGTGGGTCACAATAATAATTTGACAATGTTAAATAACACTATATAGTCTGATATTCTGTTAAAAAATGGTTACGTAGGGATGAATTCTAGTGATGGTGATAGAGCAAATTGGAAAGATCCAGACATGCTTAAAATCTTTATAGATTTGTGTCTGCAAGAATCATCTGTAAAGAAAGAAATGGAGGTAGCTTAAAAAAAGAATCTTGGAATTACACGAGGGTAGCTTTAAAGGAGTGGAAGAATGTTGACTTCTCCCAGAAATAATTGAAGAATTAGTGGGAATATCCAAGATCAAAAGAAGTGTTATTCAACCAAGTGCTAAATTAAAAAATGTGATTGAAAGTATTTTTGGAGTATTGAAAGCTCGTTTTTCGATACTAAAAAAGATGCCATCATATTCTTTTGCTGTATAAATGAATATTGTAATTGCTTGTATAAGTTTACATAATTTTATCTGACGAACCCGTATCACAAATGTTTTTTTGGACCAGTTTAGTGATGTTAATGCTGGTTACGACAATCCCCATCAAAATGTGCATACTTCAACTAGCTTGGAAGCTGGAGGATGAAGGACACAAGCTGAACAAATTTTTATGCTCAATTTGCGTGAACAAATTACACAACAATTAAACTCTTCATTTGTATTCTAGTTGTAAACTTGTAATTTTCAAAATTTATGACAATTAGTAGCTATAAATGATTAATTTAACTTAAATTAATTTTATTATCATGTTTGTTAAATGTAGACTACAATATGATAATAGTAATTATGATTTATGTTATGAATTAAACTGATTTGATATATGACCATTTTTTATTAGATAAAATCATATTTTATAAATATTTTTAAATTAAAGAGTGAAAGGGTAAAACTGAAAATTAATTTATTTTCAGATGTCACCTCAATGCAGTTATCAAACAGTTTGGTTTAATTCAATACTTAAATTTCTGTGGATACCAAATAATCCACACATTTAGCATTAAAATTTCAGTTTTCACACTTCAGATTTCAACTTTTAGTTTTGACAAATACAACCATTGTCTCTCAATGGTAGTGATGTTTCCCATTGTTTGCATAAAGGTTGTGCTGCTAGACATCAATTAGGTTTCAATGAGCAATGTCAAGTGCATATTTTTTTTTGGAGGGAAGGGGGATTTGAACCCTTGACCTCGAGAATACGAAACATTTACAAGATAAAGAGTACTTTTGGACCAAAGGCCCATTGATATATTTCACAAGTGCTTTGAGGATATATATTTTACATAGACACAAAGGGCATATCACATGAGTGTAACCTTAAAAAATTGCACGAGTGAACAAAGTTCGATTTGCCGCAAAGGGCATATCACACGAGTGTAACCTTAAAAAATTGCACGAGTGAACAAAGTTCGATTTGCCGTTTACTCGGGTTTTTCACATTATCTCTCTGCGACTAATTCATTAATAACACATGGCAAGGTTATAGAGGTTCGAAATGAAGTTAGTAATTCTGTTAGGTTGTTAAGTCTGTTAAAGAAATGCTGAGCTAGAACTCAGCTACACTGTTGTATGGTGAGGAATAGCTTTGCTTATATATACGCTTGTAATCTTTGCAAATAAATAAGAATGGAAAAATATGTTTCTGCCTAATTCTGTTTTCTGTCTTCTTCTTCTTTGAGTTTTCCTGACTCTTCCTTGATTCTATCATGATATTAGAGCTATTAACAAGAGATTAACATCTTAATGACTGATTCTTCTTCTACTGCTCCATAAACTTCTTCGAATCTTAGCTCAACAGCTTCGTTGAGTACATCAATGTCACAGTCTCCAGTTTTTCTTCTATCAAACATTTGTAATTTGGTTTCGATTTGTTTGGATTCCACAAATTTTGTGCCATGGAAATATCAAGTTTCTGCAATTCGAAGAGCACATTCTCTCCTAGGTTATGTGGATGGATCAATTCCCTGTCCAGAACAATTTCTTCGCAATGCTTAAGGTGTTTTAACCACAGATCTAAATCCTCTGTATCAGGCGTGGCTGACTCAAGATCAGATCCTCATTACATTGCTCAATGCAACACTTTCACCTTCTGCTCTTGCACATGTAATTGGCTATGCAACTTCTCATGATATCTGGATGGCACTAGAAAGAAGATTCTCTTCTCTTACTAGAGCCAATATTCTTTAGCTCAAATCATGTCTGCAAACAGTAAAAAAAGGCTCAAATTCTATAGATGTTTATGTGCAAAAGCTCAAAGAGTTTTGTGACAAACTTGCAGCCGTCTCTATGTTTGTTGAAGATGAAAACATGCTAATCTATACTCTTAATGGATTGTCTACTGAATACAATGCGTTTTGTACTTCTATTAGAACACGTGAACAACTTCTTTGTCTTTAAGATCTCCATGTTCTTCTGAGAGTAGAAGAAAATTCTATTGAAGCTATGCATCAAACTACACTAATTCCCTCAGCTATGGCAGCTACAAAGCAGAAACACAACAATTTCTCAGCAAATAACAACTTCTCATCAAATAGAGGCAGACATTCAAATAATCAAGGAAAATGCAGAGGTCGTTGGTCTAACAATCATGGTGGTGGTCGCTACAGATCAAACAATCAAAACTATGGTTTTTATTCTCAATTCAATAATTCATATGGCAATTTTGACAAACACAGTACAGACAATTACATTCAGTCAAACTCCTCCAGAAATCAGTCTAGACCTATCTGTCAGATCTGCAATAAAGCAGGTCATGTCTCTCCAGACTTTTACCATCGCATAAACTTTGCTTATCAAAGGAGTCGTTCATCTCCAAATCTTACTGCTATGGCAGCTTCTTCTGATTTTTCTAGCTCCAATCCAAATGTCTGGCTCACAGATTTTGGAGCAATAAATCATCTTACTTCAGACTTTGACAATTTATCATTTCCTACATAATATGTTGGTAAGAATTTGGTCACAATTGGTAATGGTCAGGGGTTACCTATCTCCCACACAGGTCAATCTACTATTCCCACACCTTCACATACTTTCAATTTAAGTCATGTACTTCATGTACCTTCACTTTCATCAACTTACTTTCTGTCCATAAACTTTGTGCTACTAACCATTGTCAAATCACCTTTGATGAACATGAATTCTTTATTCAGGACAAGGCCACGGGCACTCTTCTATACAAAGGAAAGAGTACTAATGGCTTATATCCCATCCAAGCTTTACCTCAGTCTTCTTCAATAACTGCAAATCTGGGCAGTCATGTTCGACATCCACTTTGGCATGATAGATTGGGACATCTATCTCATTCTATACTTCAGCAAGTTTTGTCTACTTTTTTGCCTTTTAAGTCTACTTCAAATAAGTCTTGTAATTGTGCACATTGCATTTTTGGCAAAATGTCTAAGCTGCCATTTCTTGTTTCACACACAGTTTCACTCTTCCATTTGGAATTAATGCATAGAGATGTATGGGGTCCTGCTCCTGAAATTTCTTATAATGACTATAGATACTATATTTCTTTTATAGACAATTACTCCAAATTTACTTGGTTGTATCCTCTTGCTCAAAAATCTGATGTTTACCAGATCATTTGTCAGTTCAAGTCTTATATTGAAAACTTACTTAGTCATAAAATCAAGGTTATCAGATCTATGGAGGTGGTGAGTTTGTCAGTCATCCTTTGAAGTGTTTTTTGCAGTATTCTGGTATTTCTCAAAAAATCTTGCCTTCACACACCTCAGAAAAATGGAGTTGCTGAGAGGAAACACAGGCATATAATAGAAACTGCTATTTCTCTCATGTCTAAGGCCTCAGTCCCACTCAAATTTTGGGTTCATGCTTTTTCCACAGCAGTCTATCTTATTAATAAACTTCCCAGTTCAAACACTTCTAATAAATCTCCTTTTGAACTTATTTTTGGCATCAAACTTGATTATCAGTTTCTAAAGGTTTTTGGCTGCTCCTGTTTTCCTTTGCTTAGACCTTATAGTTCTCATAAACTTCAACCTAAATCTAAGCTTTGTATTTTCCTTGGTTATACAACAGATTATAAAGGCTATTTTTGTTATCATATTCCCACACAGAGGATGTACATTTCTAGGCATGTACTATTTGATGAAACAACATTTCCATTTGCTACTATTTTTGATCCTCTTCTTCTCCTCCATCACACACATCTTCAATTCTGAGTTCTGCTCGTCTTTATTTTTAACCTCAGCCCTCAACCTCTTCTTCCCCTATTGTTCCCCTATCTTCAACACCTATTTCTTCTTCACCAAATCCCACACCTATTACTACTCAGCCTTCTACTTCCACCGACTCTTTATCATCTTCAGACCCTGTGTCCTCTTCTGTCCCACCTGATTCACAATTACCTCCACCTATAAACCCTTCTGTAGTTAATACTCATCTCATGCAAACCAGATCCAAACATGGTATTTCCAAGAAGAAAGTCTTTCTTGCTACTGCACCTATGGCTGAACCAACTTCTTGTACAATTACTGCCAAATCTCCAGAGTGGAGAAAAGCCATGTCTGAAGAATTTTCGGCCTTGTAGCAACAGGGCACCTGGTCTTTGGTTCCCCCCTCTCCTAATCAGAATCTTATAGGTTCTAAATGGGTTTATAGAATAAAGTACAATGCAGATGGTTCAATTGCAAGCTACAAAGCCAGACTAGTGGCTAAAGGTTATCACCAAGAACCAGGAATTGACTATGGTGAGACCTTTAGTCTTGTAGTTAAGCATTCCACAGTCAGGGTTATTTTGTCTTTGGCTGCTACATATGGCCGGAAACTACAACAACTGGATGTCAAAAATGCTTTTTTCCATGACATTTTAAAAGAAGATGTGTATATGGCTCAACCTCCTGGTTTTATTGATCCAACAACACCTCATTATGTTCGCAAATTACACAAGTCCATTTATGGACTCAAACAAGTTCCTAGTGCCTGGTTTGAGAGGTTCACTTCTTATCTCTACACCTGTGATTTCCATGCTTCAGCAGCAGATCCTTCCCTGTTTGTTAGAAAGAATGGATCATCGCTTACATTGCTGCTTCTTTATGTAGATGTCAGATGATCCTTCATATATCATAATCTTGTTTTCCACTTGCATACAGAATTTGAAATGAAGGACTTAGGTCTTCTACATTTCTTTTGGGATTGGAGATTAAACACACATCTACTAGATTGTTTATTAGTCAAGAGAAGCATACTAAGGATCTTCTTCACAAGACGAATATATCCACTTGCAAGAGCTGTAAAACTCGATGTGTTTCTGCTACAAGATTAAGCAAAACAGATGGCACATTGCTTCTTGATCCTACAGTTTATAGAAGTGTTGTTGGAGCACTTCAGTACTTAACTTTTACCAGACCAGACATTCAGTTTGCTGTCAATCATGTCTGTCAATTCATGCATTGTCCGACTAATGTTCACTATGCAGCAGTCAAGAGGATTCTTAAATATCTTCAAGACACTTCATCCTATGGTCTTACTTATGTAAAGAGCAATCTTTCTCTTACAGCATATGCAGATGCTGATTGGGCAGGGGATCCACGGGATAGAAGATCCACAACTGGTTTTATAGTATATCTGGGCAACAATCTTGTTCATTGGGCTACCAAGAAACAACCCACAATGGCTAGGTCCTCTACTAAAGCAGAATATAGGTCCTTGGCTACCACTACTGCAGAATTATCTTGGTTATGAATTTTGCTCTGTGATCTTCATGTTTATCTTCACACAGTTCCTAAGCTTTGGTGTGACAATATATCAGTCATGGCCTTGGCCTCAAATCCTGTGTTTCATGCTAGATCCAAGCATATTGCTATTGATTTTCATTACATTCGAGAAAAGGTGGTACGCAAAGATTTATCTGTTCATCATGTCTCAACACAGGATCAAATAGTAGATGTATTCACCAAGGGTCTTACTATTGCTAACTTCATTAAGTTCAGAGACAAACTCATGGTTCATGCTTCTCCATCAGTTTGAGGGAGGCTCATAACACATAGCAAGGTTTTAGAGTTTCGTTAGTGAAGTTAGTCATTAATTCTGTTAGGTTGTTAAGTCTGTTAAAGAAATGCTGAGCTAGAACTCAGCTACACTGTTGTATGGTGAGGAATGGCTTTGCCTATATATACGCTTGTAATCTTTGCAAATGAATAAGAATGGAAAAATATGTTTCTTCTTAATTCTGTTTTCTGTCTTATTCTTCTTTGAGTTTTCCTGACTCTTCCTTGATTCTATCATTCATTTCACATTACTTTCAAATCCAACTAGTAGGGAGATAGACAGGGTGCCTCTTCAATCCTCTCTCACCATAATCAGTTTCAGGATATAATATATAAACGTATGACTCTCCCCATTGAAATTCACAGTTTTTCTAACTTACTTTTAGTTCATGTTGCTTAATTCATCTTCCACGATCTTCCCAAATCCAACAACCTTTGAGAGCAAAATTTAAGGTCGAAGAACATCAACCTCAATCATCAAAACAACTTTCGTATATTGAATCCTCAATTAAATGCAGAATATCAAATAGAGCTAATCAGAACTAAACAGATAGATTACCACAAGTTTCATACACACAAGCCATAGTAGGGTGCAGAATATTCAATAAAACTATGACAAGTTTTTTCTGCTTTCAGACGTCAGAATTATCATGTCTGCTGATGTTTATCTACCTGAGGTAAGTAAAGCGTTCAGAGCTTCTTTGAAATAAGATATGCACTTAGGCAATATATGTGACTCCTTGCACAACAAACAAAAACAAATAGGTACCGGAAGACACATTTGTTTGATAATTAGTAACACGGAAAACTAATTATATTTCATAGTGGTCGAGTACAATCTTGTTTGGTTTAGGGTTTAGGGACCCTGACGTGAAATAGATGACGTGTTGGTAGAAAATTAAATTTCACATACACAAGAAATAACAGTAAGTTGAAGTGCTTAACAGAACTATTCTGCTGGAATGGAAAAGAAAGAAATTTTGGAGAAAAAGTTTGGCAAGAACAATATTGAACAAGCAAACAAGATATCTGAAGAGGATATAAAAATGGGCATTTTATTATGGAATTACCTGCAGCACATATAAGACCAATATTCGGTTATATAGTAACACCAATGATATAAATATGAGACCAAATAACTAGTTGTATAATTCAAGGAATCAATGATTTGTCATGCCTTACATACTTTCCACATGATAAATTTATTTAATTGCTCAAATCACTCTCAGACCACTAGCACATAATCATTGAGGAACTCAAACCTGGTACTTCCTTCCTCTGTATCACTCCTTCCTTTAATAATCATTCTCATTCATATTCTTCACCAGTATCAAAGAACTAAAGGGAATGTATTCCTTATATCAAATCCAGACAAAAAGTGGAGTGCACAAAAATCAGAAATTAACAGCTGCGAAGGCCCCTCCAGCCAAGATAGTACAATTAGAATGCACAAAATCCAATTTAGAAGTGGTCATTGTTTGCAGCCTGAAGAATTGGAAGTTGGATTCTGCAGCTACTAAAATAGTTTCTGGCTATACGCCACACATCCCAAAAGATAGGACGGGGACAAGAATGATACGTATTTACATATATACACTTCCATTGTTGGCTAGGAGAAAAGTTCTATTCAAGTTGGTTTGGCAGAGTCATCATGAGTCTGAAAGATGTGCCACAGAATCTTCCAACCACTATAACAATTCCAATCTTGCTCCTCAACAATACATGTTAGAAACTTGATCTCTTTAAAAGTAACTCGACCATTATACCTATAATGATCTTGCTTTGAAAACATTTTCCTTCCCTTTTAAATATATTGAGCAGAGCTCTACTGATTGCTACTGACCTCAAGCTAGGCGGATAACTTACCATGCAGTTTTAATCAAGATCCAGTGACTCAGATCAAGGCACTCCATCATCTTCTGGGAAAAAATGAGTTTTCAATAATGGGTATATATCCATCATCTTTCATCTGATCTACAAGTTTGTGAAGCAACTCATATATTTCTTCTATCTGATAATGGACTCTGCCTTTAGCTACAAACTCATGTCTAGAATTCCTCACCTCAATCCAACTAGAACCTGCTTCTTTCCTCAACCGCCTCTCTTCCATGAACCACCTCACTTGATGGGCATCATCCCATTTTCCAGCTGCAGCATAAATGTTGGACAGCATAACAAATCTAGCAGTATTTTCAGGTTCCAGCATAAACAAGGCTTCTGCTGCCCTTCTAGCGAGACCCAAATTCCCATGGACCCGACAAGCAGCCAAAAGTGAGCCCCACATCCCAACGTGGTTCGGTCCATTAGGAGCTTCTTCAATCAACTTCAATGCTTCTTTGAGTCTATTTTTTCTTCCAAGCAAATCAACCAAGACTGCATAATGTTCTGCTTTTGGGATTACACCAAAATCCTTCTCCGTTGACTCAAGAATTTGGAGTCCCTCAGACACTAGACCTGTGTGGCTACAAGCAGATAAAACTCCCAGAATTGTGACACTATTTGGTTTTACGTTTTCATCATTCATCCTCTTAAATATCGCAAGTGATTCCTCCCCATGCCCATTCTGAGCAAACCCTGTTATTACTGAGTTCCAACTAATAATATCCTTTCCCAGGATAGTCTCAAACAACATCATCCCCGATTTCATGTCTCCACACTTGCAGTACATGTCAATTAAAGCATTCGATAAAATCATATTAAAAGGATTACTCATGCTGCCACTTATAGTAATACGCCCATGGATTAGTTTCCCTCTATGTATAAGAGCTAGATCTGCACAAGCACTTAAAATACTAACATATGTAAAATCATTAGGGGGGATACCTTCTTCCTGCATTTTCTTAAAAAGTTCTAGAGCTTTATCGCCCTGTCTGTTTTGTGCAAACCCTGCAATCAAAGAAGTCCAAGAAACCGTATTCTTTGCAGGCATTTGATTGAAAACACAATTAGCATCCAGCAGTCGGGTTGCTTGGGAATAAGCAACAACCATTGAAGTCCATGACACAACATCCCTTTCGTGCATTTGATTGAAAATCAAATACGAGCAATCAGGTTTGCCACATTTCCCATAAGCATGAATTAAGGCATTGCAAACTACCAAATTAAACTTCAAACCTATCAAAATTGCAGCTCCATGTACTTGACGTAACAACTCCAATGCACCCAAGCAAGCACAAGTAGCCACTAAACTAACGAGCGTGAACTCATTGACAAACACATAATTATACTTATTTTGAATTCTTTTGAAGACTTCCATGGATTCGCTGTAGAATCCACGATAGGTTAGACTAGAAAGCAAAGAATTATAGCTAACAATGTTTGGTTCAGGCATTTGATCAAACAGATGGTAAGCTTTATCAAAACGGCCAATTCTACAGTATGCCGTGATGATTGTGTTCCATGAATGTGTGTTTTTTACTGGAAGATCATCCAAGGCTTTTTGGGCACAATTTATAGAATTGCATTTGGAGTACATGTCAATGAGACGGTTGGCTAAGAAGATATTAAGGGTGAGTGCTGTTTTGATGAAGTGTGAGTGGAGGACTCTCCCTAGCTTGAGGTTTCTGGTTTTGATGATGTTTGAAATAAGGGGTGCATAGTGCTGGGAAGGATCAATGGTGGGTGTAATTTCACTTGACAGCATGACCGTTGGCTGATCTGGCCGAGAGAAGGAGAGAGAAGACCCGATCCACGACTGGTCATATTAATATGGGCACCAGGTAGCGCCACACCAACAAAATATGGAGTGTCCCTCATTAAGTAAAATCTTCAAATTACAATTTAAAATGAATATTAAATCAAAATTTAAATTTGTGTTATTTAAAGTTTAAAACTAGTTTCAAATTATTTTGTATCTTCTTGCATTGTATTATGAAAGTGTTTGGCGTATTTTGGATTGCAAGGATACCAATGTTCGATTGAATTTAAAATTCAAACACGTATGATCTTATTTATTCGAACTGACATGAGATTTCTTAAATCGGGATTGTTCAAATGATTGTAATGAGAGATAATGTTACCTCTAAGTTCTTTTTTATGACTTAGAGATCAAAGACTTAAATTATTTCTAACTAGTAACCGAATGGACTAAATGTAGAAAGACAACTTGAATTTAAAGTAATAGAAAGATTGAAATTTGTAGATGAAAAGATTACCATAGAAAGATTGAAATTTGTAGATGAAAAGATTACCATACACCCAGTGATGGATTACATTTTAAACTAAATTTGCGATGAAATAAACTAATTAAAGAAGAAGTTGATTTTGTTTAGAGTTGTTGTGTTAATCGAAAAATCTCTTATCTATAGTCTTGCATTCGATATTTATGGTAGATGATTCCTAACTATCGAAGTCATCTTTTTCGACCATAACTGTAATCATGACATCTTCTCTTAAGATATGCAGACATACATTGAACCATCTCTAACTAGTGACTTGTAATGTCTTGTTGCCTCATTTCTTAGGATTCTTGGAGTCCCATTTTCTTAACCATCTTGTTAGGCTAGGACTCTGACCGACTCTTCTTGATCGTTAGATCACCTCCACATATCATCATTAGATTTTACTATTTTAGATGTAAATAGAAAGATAACACGGTTTTAGTTGAATAACCCCACAAATTGTGTTAATTGCACTATACCTTTAATAGAGTTATCGAACTTGTATTAAATGTGATGACTAATATAGAAATTAATCGCTAAACATATTATTAGAATGCTAATTATTTTTCTACATCATCAAGGGTATTTTTTTAAAATTTTAGATAATTAAATGGGCCTCAAATAAAGGTCCTTTATGTGAAAACGAGTCAAATGGCTTTAATATTAGGCATGTTTAAGATCAAAAGAAAAAATGACCGTGTCATATTTAATACAAGTAATAACTCGTACCTAAAGATACGGTGAAACACAAAAATCAAGCACCCAAAGAGTCGAGTCCACTATATTAAATCGCGACAACCATTTTTTTTTTAAATGGACAAAATCCATACATGAAGATAATGTGCTACATAAAATCGATCACAAACCATGTAATACAAAAATTTTCACTAGTATACAAATATTTTAAGGAGCAATTTATTTATTTTTTTCTAGTTACACCATTTTAAATCAATCTCCATAACCAATATTAAAAAAAATTGACAGAGTTTACTTTAAAAACATAACACAACAAAATATCAACATGTGTACATAATTTATCGAATGATTAATAATTGGAACATATCTACTTATTATAAAGAAACTAAGAATTTAATGAAAATACGATCCAATTCATTTATCAGATCACGCCTCAATCTTGCCTTAACAAAATCATTCATCAACTACTGCAACAACATATTAATATTAACAATAGAATAAAGCTTAACTTTATCCATATAAATTGCATATATCAAAGGCACTGAGTAACCAAAAACAAAAAAACAATTAGCAAAAATTAGAAATTCATTGGACAAAAAGTTAAACCCTCCATATATCTATATGTCACGAGGGTAAAATCTTACTTGAATTTCTGCCTTGTGATGACACTGAGATTCCACACTCAGTCTCAGGCAATATACATAATCGCTCACAAGAATGCACACAATGAACAGAATATAGGCAAGCACACAACTCACAGAAGGCACACACGAATTATAGGCCAAATGGCTAAACCTTTTTACTTCCCAGCAAGCCTAAAGGAAACCTAGCGATGAGTTTGCTTACAAAATGTGCCCAACTCTCTTGGTTGTACTGCAAACCCTAGCATGCCTACATATAGCATACAAAGTGGCAGTTACAAACCTAACTGCCTAGGCAATGCAAAACAACATTTAGATTTGCCCATAAAGCTACCTACAACCTGTTGACCATGGTTGAGTCCTCTTTCACTCCCACATATGTTGATTATGTCAAGGGCAGTTGCAACTATTGGCTGACCCAGCTAGCAACTGCTTACAACTGCTGTGCATGCTATGTGCACATGCCAACATCTCCCTCATGTTGTGCACATGCCAGTAACTACACAAAACCCCCTGCATGCCATGCACATGCCAGCAACCATCTTTAACTGCCACTATCTGCAGTGTACGTGTCAACTATTTGGAATTGATTGACAGTACAAATTAACATCTTACTATGCTTTTATAAGATTAATTATGCTTTGACAGAGTTTCAATGATGAAATTTCAGGAAAAAGATTGTATAGAGGCCTATAGTTAATAAATATCAAATTTTCAAGCAACACCCACGTGTTCCGGAAGAAAATTGGAGGAAAACATCAACGTTTGAACGCCAATTTACATTCGAATGCCCATCTTGAAATAATTGAGGGCCCTTGGAAGAGTGCTAGGGCGATGCATATGACATGTTGCAGTTATTCTCATAGAAGAAAAAGAGCTACTTATGTATAATGTTTGAACGTCAATCCACGTTCGAATGCCCTCTTGAATTATTTGAGGACCTACAAACGACTGCTAGGGTGATGAGACATGGCTTGTTGACTCATGTCTGTGGGTAACAAAAGTCACTTGAGTTCCATGTTCAAACTTCGGTCAGCATTTGAATGCCCATCATAGAAGATGGGAGTCAACGTTCAAATGCCATCCCACGTTTGAACGTATTCCTCGGATAGTATGCAAAGTGGTTGATTTTTCATCCAGATCTTAGGGCATTCACTTGGATTTTGAACTATTCTTTTACTCTTCCTTACCCCCTCCTCCTTGCCTATAAATACCTCATCTTTGGACTTGTAATGAAGATAGACATACATAGAGAGAGATAAATCATCTTTTGGTTGAGGAGGAAACCCTTCAAAAGTAACTAGCTTTCTTTTACTTTCATTAGCTTCCATTGTACAAGCTTCTTTCTTCACTTTGAGGAGTGAAACTCTTGCACCTTTTTAGCTCTCTTGTAGCCTTGAAGGGTGGAAAGTGATTCACTCAATGTTCATCAAAGAAAGACTTATTGTGTAGTGTAGTTTCTCTTGTAACTCCTCTACTTGGAAGGATGAGAATCATTCACTTTCTAGCTTTCTCAAAGCCATGAAGAGTTAGTAGTTTCTCATTCACTCTTTAGTAAGAGGTGATAGACATGTATAATCATTCAGGAGTTATTTTTGTACATTTCATTTATACTTAATGCTTTATCTATTGATTACTTATTGAATGATTGAATACATCTAGCAAAGCTAAGGTACTTTGTACAACCATGAATCCTTTCTAAGACAAGATGACTTTTGGCATAGGAGGATTCATTGGTTCTTTGCAAGTACTCCTACTAGATCTTCATGAATACATTTCAATCTTCACCATTATTGTGCTTCAACTAAGAGTCGAATATTAACATAGTGGTTGGATTACTTATAGAATTACTTGCTTGTTTGTAGACAGGTTGAGTCTCGGTACAAACAATTTTTGTAAATCTCTACAAAGACATCAGAACCATGCTCTTAATTCTCACAATCTATCTTTATCCTCCAATTAACTTGTTGTTGACACAGGAGTTAATTGAGTTCTCAAGCACAAATATAACAGTCGGATGATTGACTACATGTTCAAATTCTCAAGCTAAATGGTGACTTTTACATTTGAGAGAATATTATATTTTGTCTAGAAAAACCCTTTGGAGAGAATTTTATATTATGTCCAGGAAATTCCTTAAACATCATAACTTCAAATCTCAAGGGTTTCAGTCACTTTGGTCTCTATCATTATTTACCCCGAAACACCAACATTAGTTTCCTATGGATTCAATTTCGGACTTAACTGGATTATAATTGTAACTTGACAGCCTGTACTTGGGTGTACACATTGCGGATCAAGTCAGGAACCGCCTCACATGTTGTGCACATGCCTTCCTTGCAAGCCCACAAGACCTGATTTGCCTTGCCTTCATGCCAAGCCATGCCCAACTCATGGCTTGGTCTTCCAAGAAAAGTCTTGTCCCACAATTTAAGCCCACCAGCTAGCCTTACTTATGCCCAACGTGCCCATACATGAGTTGCTTTCCTTAGCCATACATGGAACTTCAATCAACCCACTGGATATGCCCAATATGCCCATGCATGCGCTACCTCTCTCAACTATGTATGGGGTTTCCACCAATGATGGGTCCCACTGATCATCAATCCTGCATCTTGGGTCTCAAATTTTAGAATACCTTGGCTCCACCCATGGCAAGCATTTGTTGGAGGCATGTCTTTCTTTTGTATGCCAAGGCTTAGGGGCATAAGGGTCCTTAGGGAAGTTGGCCTGACATCCCTTTGCAGGGTATCTCCTTATAATAGAGTTAGTGAGCAAAAACCTATTGATAACAACTAATATACTCTGAGTCAAGGAGTCATAATAACCTGGGGCTGGGGCATAATCATTACATGCCACTTGAGCCTTTGCCTAACCACTTTGTAACCTAACAAAACACAAGTCCAAGTCCTTAGGTAGCCATCTTTTGCATTAAGGGTTTGCTTCACCAAGCAAAACCCAATTTGATTAAGGCATGGGTGCCTTTGGGCGAGACAACCCCATGCCAATGCCGAGTCAAAAGCTAAAAGGTAACAAACCACCTCCACCAGAAGAGCTCGACATCCTCGTTGAGATGTTGTCCCAATTCCCCTTGATCTGATCAGGATCAAGGTTCTTCTTCTTCCGACAGGCAACTTTTCCCAAGA